CTTTTCCCGCCAGTCCTCTCAGGTAGCTATATCCTATAAACAGCTGCTTAATGTTTTAGTTGTATGGTTGTTATAGGCAGCTAATACCTTATTTATAAGCTTCAACTTGTATTCGTCCGTCCTTTTCTTTTTTTGTTGGCATAAACAAATGTTGTTGTTGTTGTTGCGAGAAAGTTGCTTGGGCTGTCCACGCATCGCGCGAGTAACATCCTCGGAAGAACTGGGTACCAACTTAAGAGGGATTACTTTGGGTATAAGGCCATTATGGGGGATTCACTCTCTTACCTCTCACTTAAGAGAGGTGGTCGCAACCGGAAGTTCTACTGTATGACTGTACTCTTAGAGTTACTCGAGGCGGAGCAAACTTCTCAAGGTACATCTATGATTGGATAGGGATGAAAAAATTCTTTAAAATGGCGTCCATTTCTAGATCAAGTGGATTCACTCGCTCTAGATCACCTTTACGTTTGGGAGATTTTAGGGCACTTTTTCCTTGGCCTATAATATTTTAAACAGTGGAAAAATGTGGCTGATTTCTCTCGAAGAATATCACTAAAGCCTCAACAGCGAATTTGGGGGAAATCAGTGCGAATCGCATGCGCACGTGACAGGTCGTTTTTCTGCTTGGAGCTGACGAGTTCGTCGAAAATGTCTCCCCAAATGTCCAGTTAAAGCTTTGAAACTCTATGATTTCCATTTGATAGAAAGGTTACGACAACTTCCCACGTTTCCGTAAATTCCCTACAGTCAAGCAACTGGTTACATCATTTTCATAGTTTTCGGTCTCTCAACCACCCCATTATCATTATCGCGTGGTGCGATAGCCATGCAAATGGTCTAAGTAAATGTAATAGAAGTGAGCTGATACACTCGCGGTTTTCATTTGAGAGTCGTAAAACGAAAACCAACCCGGTTACAATACCAAAGTAATCGCTCGATTACTTTCTACTCTCAATTGAAAACCGCTTAGATTGCCTGTTGTTGCGGTTGTAGCAGAAGCTAGACAAAGATTACGTAAAATAATCGAGGCGCACAAAGAAAGTAATTTGTCTTTTACCTATCATTGTAACCTACCCTTCAACCTCGTTTAACTTCACAGCGCGAAGTTATGTACATGTTATATCAGCATCAGCATCAGTAATAACAACAACAACATCATTTATTTGCTGATAAAAAACCCAGAAAATTTACGAATGACTACTGTAATCAGTGAAACGAATATTATATAGGGCAACCACAAAAGCTTCACATTATTTACAACGTTGCTCGTGAAAATTTGGATTGACCTTACCATGAACATTCAATTCTAAAATTCGTCATTAACTTGTTATTCCTTTTCAGCGGACAAAAAAACCCCTACGCCAACAACAGCGGTAGAAAGAATGACAACATCAAGACAAGCATGCTCCAATGGGTTGCTAACCTTATCTTGCGAAGGTATCACTGACGTAAATGCAGTCCATAAAGTTCAGTGGAAAATTAAATTTCCTGGCGCTGGTTGGAACGAGTTCGCCTACTGTTACAAATACGGCATGAATTGCGTCGTAACGAGACCAGTGCTGTCAGAAGGAATCAAAGTGCTGAAAGTTTCTAATCGCTCTGTGAGCCTACAAAGAATAGCAAAGAACAACACAAACGGTTATGCCCAGACAATGTGTCAAGTTCTCTACAAGGACAATTCCCTGACTATACATGTCTACAAGACCAACTTCACCGCAAAATGTAAGTTATGCTGGCCTTTGGTGCGATGTAATATATCAAACACAAGAAACAGTGTTTCATCGGGATATCCAAACACCAAGAAGAGAGTTAAAACTACAACGCGCAGGGGAGTATTTTTGACGAAAATCGAGGTGTTTGGATAGCTGATGAAACGCTGTCTCAAGTGAAACAAAAATTAAGGAGTAAACGGAGAAGTAAAATCGTCAAAATCTATGCTTATTAAGACCAGGTATCCAAACCTCTTTCACGGTTGCGATTTTCTTGTTTTAACTTGATGAATTATTAATGAGTTTGAGAAGTACTTATGTGCGTATGCTTATGCGTATTGTGATAAAGGAAAAAGGAAAGGCGAGGGAGGGGACTGTGATATAAAAAATGAGGACTTATATACCTTAATTAATATGTCAAACACGAGAGACAGTGTTTCATCAGGATATCCAACCAACGGAAAGACAGTTGAAAATACCACGCGCAGATGAGTATTTTTGACGAAATTCGCGGTGTTAGGATAGCCAATGAAACACTGTCTCGAGTGTTTGGTATATCTTCTCAACCGAAACAAAAACTAAGGAGTAAACAGAGAAGTAAAATCGTCAAAATCTATTTAAGACCTGGTATCCAGACCTCCTTCACGGTTGTGATTTTCTTTGTTTAGATTATAAGAATTATTAATGAGTTTGACAAGATATTGTGAAAAAACGATCATTTTTTTGAGATCTGACTGACCGTATTATGCGTTTTCGTTAAAAATGATTTCACTGTGCCTGATAAGTGTTTTACCTCTGTCCTTTCTGTCCAGGTGTGCGGATTCAGGTAGGCCGTGATCTTGATTTAACAAAGATTCTACAGAGCATTGTACCATGTGAGCGTGTAGTTGATGTAGAGTGGTACAGTATTAATGGCAGCAAGTTTGCATACTGTAATTCTTGCCAGGGTTGCAAGAAAATATCTGAAGTAAACCGAGAGCAGGTTTTCTGGAACCGATTGCAAGTTACCAGAGGCTCATTATTGTTGACTGCAGTTCAGGAGAGCGACGACGGGCGCACGATTAGAATGAAAGTTGACATGAAAGCGCCTGGAAAGTCCAGTGGAAGGAACGTTGAAGCAAACATGGAATCAGCGCATATGTATACAATTTGGATATTCGTGAATACATCTCGCTCTCCAGGTAATTACTCTGTTCAGGTTTTTTTAGTTTTAGGTGGTATGGTACCCTCAATATGGACCAAAAAGTTTGTTTAAATATGGTGAAGAAAGATCAATTGTGTGCTATTGCACTCAAGAAGAGAAATTAAATTNCACAGACACTACAAAACAACGCATGTTGTAAAAACCTTGATTTGAGAACTTAACGTTTCGTATGCTTCTACATAAATCATCATTGAGAGCTGCCTGGGTTTTCTGCGCTAGCTCCGCATTGTCCGCCAACTTGAGCAGCGTATTCACACAATGCCATTGAACACATTTACTTAAAACACGATATCCCGATAAAACACGATACCCCGATATTTCTCTTGTTGAAAGTCCAATACGAATTCAGGACAACAACAACAACAAACACTGCGTAACAGACGACTCTACAGCACTCCAAATAAGGTAAAGTAAAAGAGTTTCAAAATGAGAGTGCATTTAATCCAATAAATATCTTAACAAATGAGATGATGTTCTTTTCCTAAGTTTGCACAGTGAAGGATTATCTTTGTCACCATATAAGGAAATGTTTCGTTTCTCTCCGCCCGTCCGCGCCAAACCTACAATTATTTTCTCTCGAAAAATTAATAGTAATTACAACAGTAAAGTCGTCTTCATGCAACTTTTAGAGTGATAGCGGCTCGTGTCAAAATTTGATATTTCTTTAATTTCCTTGGCTTGATTGACCTTATAGTTCTTTGACCAGCGGTGTCCTTGTGCCGGAATTGTAACGCAGTCAACTGTAATCCGTTGCTTTGAATTCGTCGGAGGTGTGGTTTACGAGTTGTAAATCTAGGATTTCTTCAATGCCCAGAATGCCCGCCGAAAGGTATGAAGAGCCATCCATTTCAAGTTATTACTGTGTGTGTTAGAGAGCAATTTCTGTCTGGAAAATGGTTTAATTTGATTTGATAACGAGTGCCTCACCTTCAACCCTTGACAAACATTTGAGAACTCGAGATCAAAATACGCGACCAAATTCTTTACTTTTTCTCAAAAGAGATGGCAAATCACGTAAAATAGTCTCGTAAACGTTAGTTTGTGAGTGACAGCAAATATTATTAAAGTACTGAGTTTCGAAATTATATTATCGTTATGTTTGCGTGACCTTTCGACTTCGGTACGCCATTATCAGAGAGCTCAAATTTCACGAAAGTACTGCGTGTATTTTTCGACCTCAAAAATTTCACTTTAAGTAGCCCACGGTTTTAAAAATGGATTTTGCAAGAAGAAATAATGTTCTTTCACGTGTAATAAGTCTCTATACACCAGGCGAGGTACCAGTCAATGCTTTTAGGTCCTTAATTTTGTGAATTTTGCGGAGCGAAAAATCGCTCGAATTATTGTAAATATTGGAAAATTTGTCAAAAATTCAGTTTTAATTTAAACCGAGAGAATAACCTCTCAAAATGTGTGTGATCGTCTGCTTTATTTGATTAGTTACTTACTGTTTCGTGGAAAAGGTGTTTTGATTTTCAAAGGAGGTCTCGGCGGTGTTTGGTATCAGACGCCTAAAATCTGGTCTGAGAGCTGCGAAACCAAGTTTATCTCCGTACGTCCAAAATATTTATCGGATCGAGGTAAAACATATATTTTTAGAAATAGTTCACTAAGGGCTGTCTTGAGAAATTTTTTCAGATTTTTTGTTTTTTCACTATTGCACGGCCCTAGCTGAAAATTACTGACATTGACTCTTAAGCCTCTAAATCCTGACCTAAACTACAACTAGAGGTTCCTATTGCAATGTTTATGATATTGCAGTATTTTCAACACATTTATAGTACAACTTTTATCTATTTTCGCTGAAAGGCAATTGCAGACAATCATGGACAAAAATGTTGACACATTTGATCAAAACAAACGCTTTCTATGGGCGCCCTTCCGTAATTGAAAAAAAGGAAAAAAATATTTTTGTCGATAGCCAAACCCCCCTCTCCCCCTTTTCAATGTTGAAATACGTTCCGTGGACACTGTCACGTGGTTACAATATTGAAAGGGGAGACGGGGTGGAAATGTGAAAATTGGAGATTCACGCGATTCACGCGTTCAACGAAACAGGTTTCTTTCGGGGAGTGTCTCAATTGCTTCTGTACGTGATTTTAGTTACCTTCAGTCTCAACTTGAAGCTGCTCCTAAAACTCCTCTTTCTCTTCCTCACAAGCTTCATTTGCCGGGGCATATGTCTGCAACACTGTTGTTTTTAGCAAATCTTGAACAAAATCTTGCTCTAATGATCCTTTCAATCAACGGGAGCCCATTCCGTTAGGCACTCCTGCGATGTATTTCCTCAGCTCCGGAGTACAAAATTACTTCTCCTGTTGAAGTTCGAACCCTACCAAAACCCAACCACCTCACTTCACTCACACCTAAGATGCTTTATAACACCTCATTTCATTTAATACTATAGCTGTAGTAATTGAAATGAATAGTGTAAATCCTTAATTGCTCGAGCTTTCATAGGATTAGTCATTTATTAAATGACTAATGGTAAAGGTAAAGGTAAACTTTATTTAGTCATGGTGGCTCATTCAGCAACGAGGCTGATATCCGGAGGGGCCCTGGACTAAAAATATAACAATTAAAAATACAAGACATCGTGATAATGACCGAGGAAGTTATGAAAGCGCGCGAGTTAATTTATGCTACAGGGCAAACTTTTTAAAACGATAAATTGGCCTGTTCTCAGCCAATCACAATGAAGTAATTTTCTCAGTCAGAAAATAATTCCAAAATTGACCTTTATTCGTTTTTATTTAAAATAGCAGGATAATGCATTTTGATGAACGAATAAGGCTTCTCGAAAGCAGTGCTATGAAATCATTTGGGTTCTTACTCTTATTTGTAGTCTTCAATGACACCAAGAACGAAGAATGGCAAATGACAATCCACGAAAAAGCGACTATGCCCTGCCCCATATTACAGGAAGTTGTTAACAAGGACGGCACATTCGACATCGTCTATTGGTCCCTTTGCACATCAAAAAGCTGTGACGATACACATTCTACGTGGGATTGGATTGCTGGTATGAACCAAGAAGGAACAAGGGCAGCGGTAAGAAGTGGAATAAACATTACGAGTGGTGGCGCTCTGGAAATTCAAAAGGTACAGCTCAGCGATGCCGGACTTTACAAGTGTACCGTTAAAAGAAGTGATCGCAGTTCCCCAAGAATATCTTTTGCAACACTCTTTGTCAACGGAGTAGGTAAGTAAGATCTTTGCTTTTACGTGACGTTATAAAATCCTAAAATCAGAAATCCCTTTGAGTTTTTGTATTTTACTTTTTCTTTCAACATCATTTCAGTTGAATCTGACTTTTTTTTAACACAGAAAATAACATTTTCTTGAAAAGCAAACGTATTTTAACTTTGCGTTTCGTTTAAATTTGTCATATTTAATTTAGACATTGTCCATCAGTAAAATACCCACCTCAGTATGGTGATCATTGTTTTCGGTGCTTTTGAAAAGAATCAAAACTGAGTTGTGTTAGATTTGGATGTTCCATCAATATCCATACAACAACCAGAAGATTAATGCTCGCTTGGGGATACGTTCAAGCGAATTTCTCTATCTTTAAAATTATGTGCGCAACTAAGGAGAATCGAAGACAACAGTGGGAGGGTATTCTGCACTTTCTCCCGAATTTTGTCTTCTCGTACTGGGTATATGTACCCTGCGAGCAGTTTCGTTCGGCGTAGTAGAAACCAACTAGTCGCAGGGTACGGTATCTGTTACTCGTTCCCTGCACTCAGTCGTGAGAGATGACCTTGAGCGCGCACTCGAAGATAAAAGTCGTATCTCAGCATTGTTCATGTCATGTCCTCTATTGATCGAATTCTCTTATGATTTTATCGTGTTCATCGAGAATATATATATACTATCACAAATGAAGACAAACTGCACAATTTAGTTGCACACCTATATTTCGACTGCCTACAACAGTCTTCCTCAGTCTTCATTTGTGATAGTGTATATGAGTTCATGAAGATCGTTTACGTGTGGCTGGTGTTTGTGAAGATTTATATATATATAGGCTTTCAAAAGATGCTTTGTCTGGAAATGGNCGTGCGTATGATTAGCCAATCAAATTCGAGGATTTAGGATTCCGGCCCGTTCAGATGCTTGAGAAAAAAATAACAAAAGTATCAAAAACGAAATAATATGGCTACCTTTTTGTAAGCGTTACAATAAATTTGTTCGAATGCATATTTTCCGGTCTGACATGCCGCAGTTGGTGATCGTTATATCCCAGAGATACGGGCCATAAATCGACGAGAAAAAATTTCGGTCGGTGTCTTTCAGTGGACACCCTGAGCTTGATCATCATGGAGTATATTTGTTATCACAGATAATATTATTGATCGATACTGAGATCTTTGATCTTTTTATCGTCCACTGAAATCGTTTCTTTCTCATCAGGTGTTCAAGCTGACAGTAAGCGAATAGAATGCCTTAACGAGCAGATCGCGCTGGAATGTCTTGGCCTAGAATCGGTCATCCAAAATGGAACTTTTCTAGAACTTTTCTGGAAGGTCACTGACCCTGAAGATCTCAAGAAACAAAATATTGGCTACTGCAACAAAGACCTGAATTGTACCAGATACGGAAACATAGGAAGTTTTGATCGACGAATCAATCTAAGCCATCCTGTTCGGGGAATACTTCTCGTGGAACAGATGGTGTTGAACGATCGACTTTCCTACACATGTGCCATAGAACGCAGTGGAAACAAAGGCCCGATTGTTCACAAAATAATTGTCACTTCTTCAATGCATTGTAAGTAGAAATCTTAGCTAGACTGATTGAATTGATTATAATTTGAAAAAAAATTATACGTTTTCAGTTGTGCCTTACTTTAAAATAGAGAAAATATGAATTAACATGAGAAATTTTTAGTGCGACCGGCTCGGCTGCAATGTGGGAAGTTCTTTTTAACGTGAAAAGTTAGTTTTTAGATCTCTCATTTTTTTCAGCACAGTAAAACCTTGATAGTTCGATTTTTGGCAATACTGATTAAAGGTTGATTTAATGATAAACCGCACCCCAGGGAAATAGTTCTGTAACTGATATTGAATAAATAGAGGAAACACATAGCTGCAATTCTAGAATTATCAAGTGCGAAATTGGACTAAAACCAAATCTAGCTATTAGTAACCTGTTTGTAAGTGAAAAGCTGCTAAGGTGAATTTGCCATTGAGAAAGAAATGAGATGTATAAAAATGGTCGTTCTCCGAAGATGACACTTGATAACAGTGCCGAGTATCGACACATATGAGAACACGGTTCATTCTAACTTTATTTTATTTATCAAAATAATATCATAGTAGATTTAGCCAAGCCTAAAAGTGGAGCTCCTGCTACAATAAATAAACCTGCCTTGAGCCCACGATCCAGTCGAAAACCAGTCCTGGTTAGCGGTCGACGCTCTAATTGTGAGCCCGCGATATGGTCACAGGATACTAATCAGCAGATACTTTGATATTGACAGGTGTCGATTAACCATAGCATGGATGTCCAATATCAAAGATGTATGCTGTAAACCAAGGTCGCGCTCTATTGGGATCAACCGTTCCAACCACAGCCGGTCTGGGTTGATACGGTTGACGTTTTTCAATAGAGCACTTTTCCAGCCGTTTTAGGTTGAAAAGCGGTGACTCTTGGAAATAGCCCGCGAAACAAACAGACATTGCTTTTTCAACCGGTTCAACCTGGTTTAGGGCCGGAAACGGTTTTTCCCCAAAAGAGCACGAAAAAGACTCAACCAATCAGAAACGGTTGATCCCAATAGAACACGCCCTAAGGCTGCATGCCTTGGTCAATCTGTTAGCTAGAGTGTGGCCGCCATGTTGCGGAACGTCGTCGCCGTTTTCGTCGTTCGCGCCCACGAGCAATACTGCCAGCCACGATGACCACGAGAAAAGCAACTGATGGGTTCCTTTGAGTATGGTACTCCACTTGCCGGTCCTTTGGGCCGCCGGAGATCCACTGTAATCTATTTTGTTGATATACATTGTTACGATTCGTGGCAATGTTAATTTTTCCCCTGTTTGAATTTTAGGTTTGTCCTCTTCAGCTGGGCAAAACCTGAACCTAACTCAACCGTTCCAGGCCATGTTTTCTATGGAAACAGTGGAAGATATTGAGTGGTACAGAATCTCACGAGATGGGGCGAAAGTGAAAATAGCATACTGCAACCCCTCCTCGACGTGCATCTTGGTTGAAGTTTGCACGAGTTCCTGCCCAGAGTACCTAACAAGGCTGAAGACAGACGGGCTGTCAATCATTCTATCAAATGTCAAACAGGCTGACCGCGGATTGGAGTTTCAATGCCAAATACACCATAAGATTATGACCAAAGGACCTCGAGTTTACATGATCAGGATTAAAGCAATCTCGCCTCGAGAAGGTCGGTGTGATTCACGTGAATTGCGTTTTTGTTCGTTGAGTGTCAGCTTAGTTGGACTGAGGGAGGAGGTAAATACCTTTTCTTAAGGCAGAATCCAATCTGAAACATTGGTTTCGTTGTAGCGGGTAGAACGTGAACCACGACTGTCGCCGTTTGTGATTGATCATTGTTCGGAAATTCATATTTTACTGCAGTTTACATATCTTTAACACGTGACAGCGTAGCTAGAGGGAGATATAGCAGTCAGTTAAGGAGGGGTGGGGGAAGAAAGGCTATCGCTCAGTCAGTGTGTCAGTCAGTCAGTCACTGGTAATTCCGCCGACTGGTGAACTCCGCTGGAGGGATGACATTTACCCCACATTGTGAACAAAATGGCTGTCAAAGCGATGAACTGATCATTGGTTTTGGCGTTGAACAAGTGCTCCAAAATTAAAGAACGTATGGTATACAACAAAGGTGGGTGTATAATTCGATCCATCGATAGCTTTAACAGCTTTTAACAGAGGATTTGCCAAAACTCATTTGCGAAGGTTTCAACGCTCGGAAAGTGCTTTTCTTCCGCGAATTATTTCAAATCGCCACACTGTCTCATTTTCTCATATAATTACATTGCTTTTATGGCTTGCACATTTTTATTTTCCAATGCCTATATAAACGCAAACCATTTGTTAGTAGCTCGGTTTCCTCACCGGGATTCCAACCCGCGACTTTCAGACTACCGCATTCGCGGCTGAAATCTTACAACTTCGCCAACCTGCAACCTGCAACAAATTATTCATGAAGAAAACCATTCTTAGACTCACAGAAAGCCACAAACCGCTGATTGACTGGCGACCATCGGATGCTCAAATGATTTGCACAGCGAGCGACTGCGGATTCTAATTGCAATTGTTTTGGCCATGTTATCTATTCATGGATATTTTTAGATGCTCGACGGGTTTTTCATTTTCACACTGGGGTCAAAAGATCGCTCGGCGTAAGGACTCGTATCATTTTTTAAGGGGAAAGCCATCTGATCGGGTACTTTTAAAAGGAATATGACAATGCGCATGGTTTTTAGTTCTAAAATCTCAACGATTCGCCATGTTGATCAGTTTGGGACCTACTCTCGTGTGAGTAATTTCTATCCTCTGATTCAAGGATGCTTTTCTTGCAATGAAGTAATGAAGATTTTTGCAATACTCAAGTCCTAAGGAGAGAAGCATCGATATCAGAATAGCACTCGACTCGCTAGGGAAATTCCAAAGGCGAGAAAACGAAAAATACAATGTGGATTTTGTCTCATTTGATAGAAATAAGTTAATTACAGTTATTTATCTATAACGTACTGTGTACATAACACATTTAGTTTTTTTTTGTGAGAACCCATTAATTCATCAGTAGTTACAATCACAATAAGTGTTCCACGGCTAAATAGGTTTAATGATTACTTGTAAATTAATGATTGTGGTAAAATTAATGCCTGGAAACTGGAGCTGTGTCTCGAAACATACAAACTCTTCCTAACAGGGTACGAATATTTCAAAACTAGTAAGTTTACCAAATGACAGTGTTTTTGGTTGCAACACAAAGATGTAATATTGAAAAGCTGTAAAATGAGAGAGCTTTCTTAAACACAAAGCTACCAAAACAAAACATTGCTTGCCGTCTACCCGCTGTCGTACGTCCTCGTTTGTACGAAACTGCTTTGAAGTGAAGTTCAAAAAGTCAACAATTGCTATGATACATGACACACTTGAGATTTACAATGCAAGAGAGAAAAATTCACTTTTTGATCAGTTTTACTGTCGATTGTTTCTTGGTGAGCCTGAACTAAAATTTAATGCTAAAACTGAACAAACGCATGGAAAACCAGTTGGACAAAACATTTTTGACCCACCCTTGTCATATCTATGATGTGAACAGTCCGTTTCAAATACCACCCAATCAGGCATGGTTTCTTAAAACCAACTGCTGCTTATACTTAAAGTATGGAGATCGCTTGGTCGCTACTCGGTTAAAGAGCCTTTGATTTATCTTCTTTAGACATAGGTCCACTCGGAGTCACCATGCATGCACCCATATCAAAGGAAGAATTGGCATAGCTCGGAAGCATTAATTTCAGAAAGATTTTCTAACGAAGATTTGTTCTGCTTCAGATGTAATTAGGCGCACACACTATTCGTCATCAACTGATCTGTTTCCAAACTTAAAACCCTACCATCGTCACAACAACCGTAAGTTTAGGATAGATCAAAATTGTAACACCTTTACCCTAATCCCTAACACGATTCAGACAACTGTTGCCTCCCCACTCCGTGCTTCAAAGATTTTCTTGCACTGTGGAACTTTATGTTTCTTGAAGAAAAGTGATAGAAGCTTTTCTTGCAGTTAACATGTCCAAAAAGATTCCTTCCTTTCCTCATCTTATCTATACCCGGCCCCTGACATTTAGTGTTACGAACTCATTTAAACCGGAATTTTGAACAGACTGTTGTTAGCTGTCAATGAACCTTCTTCAATCTTGAAACAAGGAAAAGTAAACCCCCTAACAAATTACACAAATGAAAAACGTATAGTTTACAAAAATCAAACAGCTTTCTCCGGAAACTTAAGTCCATTTTCTCGATTTTACAACAACAGATGAAATTAGATTTAAATAGACCGCTATTGAAATATGTACAACTTACAGTATATATTGACAATTAACACTCGACACCTTAATGTATAAATCTCTTAGCAAAGAAGCGTTTTAGGTATTAAGAATCCTGGCATAAAAAGTTTTTTTAGTTTCTGGCCCTCGGTAAATCTGTCCATTAACGATGGGTTTATCGACGTTGAAGTCTACTTGAGCGTTCTGTTTCTTGGCGTTCTTTAGAACTGGAAGAAGTTATTATTTTATTTTCCTTCGCATTGCTGTCATTGCCCGGTGTCATTGCTAGCCTTCAGAAAAAGCTATCACATCGCTTATAGATTCATCCAATTTCAGGTTGACTTCAGGTTGATTTCTTGAAATTTATTATTGACGAAAAGTACTTTCGCTGATGCGTTTTATGGCTTGAGAAGAAAACCTTTCTTGCAAGAAAGTAAATTGAAAACGTTTTAGTATCCGTACGTGACTGGTTGCGTTCGAGAAAACGCATTTTTAATCGGGAAAAAGTTGAGATTTTGAGTGTCTATCTATTCAAACCTCATAGAATATTCATGATCCCTCGCGATGACGTCAATAGCATTATATAAACAACTTAATGATATGCAGCTGTGTCAGTTAAGATAACAAGTCACTGGCGATACAACTCGCAACAGCATGTCTGACCAGCCACGTCCCATCCCCGTCGCCAACAATGATGTTATGAAGCTAAAATGGTGCAGGTTCTTCAACCCGGCACAGATTGTGCGGCGAATAATCCCACCTCGGAGGCGGCTAAGGCTTCGTCAGGCACCGCGATCTCTCTACAAGACTCGGCAACTTCCCAACAAGATGCCGTTAATTCACAGGCCTATGTAAACACTAAGAAAATTGGTGAAGCTAACAAAGCAGAAGGAACTTTGGCGGTGAAGATTTTAGTTCAATCCTTCTGATTTCTTTATTCGATTTGGTCAACGAGCTTGTCGCATACTTTATATTTTCTCGGGTTTGTTTGTCATTTCTTTCGCGAGCACGTGGTTGATTATTTATGCAAGGATGCTCACACGGGCATGACGGCAAGTGTCATGTCATGTCTTTTTTCGGACTGCACCTGGACGCGACTGGTCTCGAATTTTACTCCTGCTTTGTTTTACACTTCTGTATCACGTTTGTTTATATTTGTAGGCTGCTTGATATCTTGGAACACGGGAAAATTGGGATATACGTTCGGTGAAAAGGATTGAAGTCTTTAGGTTTGGAGTATAGTGTGCGGCTGTGTGCCCACCCAGGAGGTTTGGCTATGTGCCTGCTAAAGAGGTGTGGCTGTGTGTCCATTGAATAGGTGTGGCTGTGTGTCCATTGAATTGGACACACAGTCCCGTGTCCATTGAATTGGACACGAGTAATACAACTCGCCACCCCCTCCCTCCCTTTAGTTGTCTTTCTAGCCCTTTCGTGCTTCTCTCTGTCGTTTGCTCGACAGAGAGGACTTTCCCATACCTTAATGCTAATGAGGCAGAAAGAGGGATAATGGACTATGGACACCAATTTGGCCGCCCCCCAAATCCTTCAGGGGCGAATGAAGTCATCTCCACGTTCGTCCATGTGCTTTCTTAAGTGGGATTTCTTTTCTTAAGTGTTGAGGAATATTGCGGACTTTCGAGACTTGAGGCAGCTTATTATGGACTGTAGCGGATAAGGTGCGTATTTATAGTTTGAAGTTAGAGTTAATGGCATTTAAAAACCCTGCAGGTAAGATTTATCGATGTCTTCATGAAATGTGTACGACTTTTCGTACGAACAGAAAGCTGTAGTTTGGCTGCGTGTTGTGTACCCTTTTCTCTTCGACCAAAAACTAACGCTGCTTTCTGCTGAATAAATCAAAGCAGGAAGTGTGTGATTTCACATTGCTGGCCTTGAATTTCTGTGCGTAAAATATGTAACATAAACCCAACGAAAGTGTGAATTAACATAAGACTAGTAATAACCAAAGGTTGGGGAGTGCGGGCGAGGACGATGCATTGTGCTTTTGGGTTAGTAAAAATGTAACAGAGTTGTACTAGGTTGTTATAATCATCAGTGGCGCATTGAGATTGATGGTTCCCTGTCTCTTTTAATTATATTTGAGGCCGCCAAATGCCCCAAATCCTTCCGATTTTTCTGACGCTTTCTTCAGCGACAAAACCAAAACAAGAGCAAACGCTCGCAATACATGCCGCTTTTTTATATTTCTTCCTTGGTGCGCGCGCTGGATACACGACGTAGCGTGACATGAACTAATTTGCTATGTGAGTTACGTCAGAAGCATATCACCTTGAAGCGTTTAACTTCCCTTATCGGTTTCAACAGAAGCTTATCACCTTGTTGATATGCTTCTGGAATACGTGCACAGTAAGGATCATGGCGCAGATTAAATTGTGGCGAAAAGATATGGATTTTGTGATCCAGCTACAAAAATTTAACTATATCTCGCGAGTCAGCGCAGCAGACGAATGGTAAGCTTAATGTTAACTCGAAAGAAATCTTTCCCCTGCTTTTTTCGAACTGATCAGCCAAGCCCAACTGACTTCGTCCTCCACCGATCGTGGAAAGCACAGAAAAAAGAGTTTTAAACTTCCTTATATAGTTTTTTGACTCGAGCGTGACAGGAGTCGGCGTAAATGTTTTGCCGTGGAAAAAAGATAAAGCTTTATATGCCGACCAACTTCTGATCCTGTTTTTTTCTGCAAATGTCCATGTGTATATTCAGTGAAAAGATATATTGAAAGCCAAAACTGTTTATTACAAATGCTATTGCTAGTGTTCTGAGTTCTCTAGTTCCCGCCTAGAGCTGCGATATCGGGAACCGCAATTTTCTGGTACAATAACAGTTTTGCGACTCTATCGACCAATCAGAGGGCTCGTAGTATCTCAGTTATTTTTTTACTATCTGGAAACAATTTGGTATAACATAACATTGTATTCGAAACTTGATGTTTTATGGTAATCGTATTTTGACAGGAATACATATGAATGTTTTTCCAAATTTGGAATTTTGTTCAGTGTTTTTATGAACAAAACGTAACATTCTTGCAGTTATTTCTGTCTTTTTGGGACATTTAACATTGCTCTACTGAATCTGATTAGCTTTGTGTCTTTTTTAGCGGTTTTCTGACTTCTTGAAGAATATAGAAATTAAGGTGCTGGATCTAAGAGGGCAAACAAGTTAAACATTTCATCTTTTTTTTTAAAAAAACACTATTTCCAAGAAACAGGTGCCTATTGAAGAGGTGCGTTTTCAGTTTATTAATGCCAGGAAGATGTTTTGATAAGTGCTGGATTATTTAGAATTATTATTTTAACCTGATGTAATTCTTCAACAGATTCTACAACAGAGCCCAGCGGTACTTACACTTTACGTGCTATCATTAGCGAAGTAAAACAGGACAATGAAACTGTTGGAGGTTACCAACCGTCACTACTTCCGATCTGGATCCCATTGTCATCATGTGCCGTAGTAGTTGCAACGGCTTTTATTTTTATCAAATGCAGAAGCGAAAGAAGGAAGAAAAGTCGAAGAAAACGTCGTGGGTGTGAAGCAGTTGAAAGTGACGATGACGATATGACGATGCTAGAAACGACTCGGTTGTTGCTCCCCCCAGGTATAATTGATGATGTCGTGTACTTTATTTTCCTTACCTACGCCCCCACCCCCATACCCTCACGGAAAATATTAATTTGTAATTCGAGTAAATACTGAGTCTTGGCCTCTCTCCATCCAAGAAGTAAACAGTAGAAACCCAACCAGAGTTATTTTTTTAAACACCAAAATCGATCAAAAAAGCTTCATTTCTATGGTTGCAATTTAGATTTTAGGAAATTTTTCAGCCTCAGGTGTTACTGCGTTATGGAACAGCCTCCAGTAGTACTTTTTTGTTTAGTTGAAGAGAAAGTGTTCTTGTTACAACACAGTGCGTTTCGTTCTCAGAGACTAAAAGTTTCTTTTCTCTCTTTCTTAATTTCGTTGTTTCTTTATTCCAGGTGCGGATCTTCTCATCAAATATCTTACAACTGACGAAATAAGATTCATAGCCCACAGACTCAATGGCAAAGACGACCACGGTAATCAGATGCTTTTCATAAACATGGTCCTTTTGTTTGCTTTATAAGTTTTACTGACAAGTACAATGTAATTACATGTAACGGTACCCAACGGCCGTTTTCTCTCAAATGCTTTTAAACGCTGTTTCAGGCTATCTGGAGTACTTTCAAAGCTCTGTAGGTTAATTTTAGGTTGCGCTAAAAAAATTTATCCGTTCGGTTATTCTAGCAGAACTTGACTATTCTCGAATTTATTAGGACTTTTTTGCCTATTCTCCGAAAACCTTAGGTCTTATCGCCTTTCCGAAAATGATAGCTGACCTTTTATCGGTACCCAAAACGACATTTTTTACAATTCGAAAACAACAGATATTAAATTTCTCATAATACGAAATTTTTCTTCGGAAAATCAGACGGGATTAAAGGCCTTCTGAACAGATAATTTACCGAAACGATCCGTTGGGTGACCCTGATGTAAGGGAGCCAGAAGAGCTGTAACTGCGTGACACACGAATCAAAAGATCACTTTAACTCAGATAATTTGCATACTATTTCTTGATTCCTGAATGAATTTTTACTCCTCTTCCCTGCAACTTATTGAGAGAGTGAACCGTCGTTTTACAGATATCTTAAGCTGACACTTGTCATGTTGCAAAGCAAACTACGTACAAGATTTCGGATTCCTAAACAGACTGAATGCTTGTGATTCGCGCCGTGATCATGTATCTCCCTCAAATGTGCGAAATCAAGGTGAAGTGACGAGTTTCAGCTGATTCCTAACATTGAAAGGATTACCTTTGCCGTAAAAAAATGGTATATGAAAGGGATAAGGGTTTGGACCTCATGGCGGAACTTCCTCGTATGAAACTTTGTTGGTTTCTTCCCCTCCGGATAGTGCCAAAAAGTTCCCAAAGAATAGATAACGAATAGATAACGATGTTAATTTGGGTTGGTTTTGTATTTTAGGTGATCACCTCTGGGAGGTCATTGGGCAGCAACTTGGCTTTGGTGCTGAATGCAGAAAATGGAAAAGTGCAGAGGATCCGACTGAAACGCTGCTCAAGGCCTACGGGGAACAAGAGGGAAGCACGATCAATAACTTGATCAAGGCTCTAATGGAGGTGGGGCTGACTAAGTTTGCTGAAGAAATTGTGAGACGCAGGATCAAAGTGTGGCTGAACGCACAGCGTGGTAGTTAGTTATAGTCCCGGGGGGGAACTGCCATATATGGGCTATCTAGGTATGTGCCGCTGTGAAAGGTATGTTTTCAAGCAGTTTACTCTAGCATAGGGTATATAAATCAGAGCGTTTGGGTCTAGGATAGGGTATCATTTTTCACGAAACTGACCAGCTGGCTGAAGAGTTTATCTAAACTAAGGAAAGCAGGAATTGCAACTCAGCCTCAACAGCGTTGATAGATGACTATCATAAAACACTACAGGATATTATTAACCGTCAAAAATCGGGATTCAGACGGAAATCGGTGGTTTTAATACTGGTTGCTCTAGTATAGGGTAGCAAAATTCAGCTGAACTAGCTCTGGTATAGGCTAAGGGTTCCAGGGTACCAGCGGCACATCCCCATCCAGAAATTCCTAAAGTACCTCCCGGGTTATAGTTACACACAGCCGGCGGATCATCCTCCGTTTGAGATGCTGTTGTTGTTATTAAAGTATGATTGCTCAAACTAATAAAGATATAAAATGATGTAAAAGTTTCAGGGCTTCAAATAACGGCCGGTCAACGGACAGTGTCCGGTCAAAAATAGATTTTGTCCGGTCAAATCTTTAGATGGCCGGACAATTTGTTCGGTCATTTACGCTGGTAAGGAAAAAATTGAGAGTTTCAAGTTTTAAATATTTAAAGGTTCAATCTTTTTGACGTTTGTGAAAAAGGAGGGAAAAAAGGCGGATACTTTACTACCAGACCAAGAACTTTTAGTAAATGATTCGTAATAGTCATAAAATTATCGTTGCACATTTTCGCTTTGTCATTCACCAAGTCCTCTCCGCAAATTAGCGGGTGTGAATTACGTTATTGTTTATTTGATGGTCCATGTGGGTTTTGTAAACATGACTTAAAAAGGATAACTAAACCTCTCAGTGTCGGTAAAAGGGTGTGAAAAGAACAATAACAAGAAAGCAAGTTTACATTCATTTGTCTACTTGTCGACATTTCCGGGTGAATCACTTACGCTATAAATACCGCGATTAACTAAACATTCTATATTCCAGGGAAACAAACCTTTTAAGTAGTAAATTCACATATGACGACATGTAAACTTTACCCGGCCTATATACGCGATTCCTCTCAAACGATTGACCCCAGATTTCATTGTGTTACGTGTCACGCATGATGTGTGGATCGTTTACTTTATGTAAAATATTTGAAAAATTCTTCTCAAATTTGACTAAAGCAAAAAGTTTCACCGTTGACAGGTCGAAACACAATGGATTAGAAAGAAGTTGTATTTGCGATAATCCTCTATAAATGTTGTCAATGTGGCATGTAACGACTTCAGTTAAACAGGTAACATATGAACATAGTCATCAACATCTTGTTCGAAATCCCTTTCCAGAAATCTGGATGTTCCCTTGTTATATGTCCAAACTGCGTTTCCGTAAGATGATGTCCTCGGATGTCGAAAAGAACTCTTCCATGTACAATAAATGCTTTGAAAATTTACTTGTTTCATATTTAAACATCATATGAAGGGGGAGGGGACACTTTTATAGCGATAAGACGTAATCGATGTTTGTCCGGCCAAAAATGGGAGATGTACGAGCAAAAATAGGTTTGACCGGACAATTTGACCGGCGCGAGCCGGGAAATTATTTCAAGCCCTGAGTTTAGAGGACATGCTTATCGTGCTGGGTGTAATGATTTTCCCTATTCTCGAACTTTGTTAGGTTGTGATTTTTCGGGGCCAGATTACAGTTCTCTCTTCAGCAAGAGGTCGAAAAGTGGATCAATAAAATAACGCCAACAAGCTAGAACAGAACTCGAGAAGAAGAGCAAACACGACATCTGTTTCAATCATTTAGTAGGTTATTTTAAACTATTTATTGAAAGTTTACAGCGGAGCAATCAGATTTTAGTAACAACGCGATTTATTGTGGAAGGTGCGGTGGCCTCATGGTTAGTGCGCTCGTCTCCGGGTCGAGCGGTCCGGGTTGGAGCTATTGTGTTGTGTTCTTCGGCAAGACACTACTCTAGCACTTCTATTCGCTTCATGCTACAGAAAACTGGCATAAGCTCTGGTCTGATGGGCTACTTGGCTCGTATGCAGACTTAACCTACCTAGCTACCACTGATTTAACGGAGGATGATCTGCCAGTGTTTCTAACCGCACTGTTGCACGTTTGGCAAACTAGATCACGAATGGCGGATCGTAAAGACTTAAGGTTAATACTTCAAGTCATCGTTGGTAATCTGATATAAACAAGCCTCTCTTTTATATATACATTTGCGTTATCATTAAACTGGATTTGAATTTTCACCTAAAAAGAAAAGATAACGAAAAAATCAATGTTTTACAGCGGTTGAAAAGATTACGTGAGCTTTAAGACGATCGCATGTTCATTAAAACTTCTGTCAAGTACGATAGGGGCCGAAATAGACTACGAGTGGTCAGTTTTTTCCCCTCAAATCCTCCGCGCGATTGGAAAAGTAAAATTATGCAAATCAGGGAAAGAAACGAGAAGGGAGTGAGAAGCGAGGAAGGACCAAGTTTCAAATGCAACAAGTTACACCCTAAGAAGTCGACTTGGTTCACTTGCAGGAATGTGGATCAGAGCTTAAATCTTTTGCGCGAAAAACATGATTGACATTTCTCACTTTTCATGTGCTCCGCGCGCGATCTTTGCGAAAGCAGAAAATGATTTCCATCAAAATGTTTACGCGTATTGTTCTCTAAGTCAAATTAATTTATATGTGTACAGTGCGGTATGTAGCCAGCAGACAAACGGCAAAAGCTAATTATATTTTTTCAGCAGAAATTTAGCTCGGAACATATACATATTTATATTCCTTTGAATCGTCGATGA